TGCCTCTCCCTTTCAAATTGATATATATATTAATATATATATATATATTAAAGTGTTATATAAAAAAGCTTAGTAAATTTGCCTCAACATGTTGAAACCTTTCCCCCCTAAGTCATAAATAAGCAAGGAAAGTTCCGGGACAGGTGGTGCTGGGGGAGGGATCTGAGTGCTCTGCAGCATCTCTGAGCTCTTTACAGTAGCTGATCATTTGGGGAGTTGCTGTTAGAATGAGCTTTGACTATTTTTAAAAGCAACAGCCAGGGTTTGGCGGGAAGTTCTCTGCATTTGGAGATATAAACCAGATCCGAGATGTGCGTTTGGTCTGGGTCTATTTCCAACTGATGAAAGACAGGAAGGGGGTGAGAAGCTGACAAGCCTCACTCAGCTGGACTAAACTGGTTTTGTTTCAAGTACATTTTTGTGTCGAAATTCAGGCAGAGTGCACTGAAAGAATAAGGACACAAGAGCAGCTGATCATTGCCATAGCTACAGAGAAAGCATTGGATTTTGTCAACGCTTTCTCAGGCTGATAGCATACAGTGAAGTAGCATAGAAGAGATCTTCTGTAGCCTGATAAAACGCAGTTAAGAAAACCCACAGCTGACAGATTAGAGTGAAAGACCGGGTGCTTTCCTTTAAAACAAGGACTAAGACAAAGCATGTCTACCTTTGCTGCATCTATTCAGCATTGTCCTAGAGGTTCCAGCCAGGGCAATAAGACAAGACAAAGAAATAGAATCCATTCAGTTAGGAAGAAGTCTGGCAGTGTCAGTTCCTGTAGACATGGTCTTGTATGAGGAAACTCAAAAAAGTTAGCAGAAAATCAAATTAAATGATAAACATATTTTGGTGCATAAAGAATTAGGAATCCATGCATGAATGTACTCCTTAAAAATGTACATTATGCAAAAGTATGCATGGCTTTCAAATGTTTGCGCAAAACTAAACTTTTAATTTGATTTGCCTTCAATTTTTGGAAATTCCTTCTAATATAAATGCCAAAAATACACATGCAGACACACACTATTTGAACAAATACAGAAATTTAGCAAGATTGTATGATGTTATATTAAAATAAGAAAATATTACGAACTTATATACACTAGCCATCTGCAGATGAAATGAAGGTACAGGTTCAGTGGTATCCAAAAGACTAAAGTAGTAGGGAATACGCTTAACAAAAAGAAGCACCTGAAAAATCACAAAACATCATAGAAAGAAATTGAAGTAGACTGCAGTAAATGGAAAGACATCCTGTACCCATAAATTGGAAGACTTAATATCGTTAAGATGAGAGTAATCCCTAAATTGATCTGCAGACACAAAGTAATCCCTGTCAAAGTCCCAGCTGGAATTTTTCAGAAACTGGCAAGCACATGCTAAAAATCATGTTTTATAAATGTACATGCAAGAGACCCAAATGAATCAAAACAGGTTTTTTAAAAAAGTAAAAGAACAAAGTTCAAAACTCATACTTCATGATTTCAAAGCTACAGTGATCTGGGGCTTGGCTTCGTGGAACAGGAGTTCACCACTGTTTGTACCGTCCACATCCCATCTTGAATCCCAAGTCCTGAGTCCCAGCTGCATAGCTTGCAACCCAGCATCCTGATAATGGGCCTGAAAACCACTGGTTTATAGGACTGCTGCCACTCGGCCAGAAGACCAGGATGAAATTCCTGGCTCCTGGCTTCTGTCTGCTGCATGATCAAGACCTGCCTGTTACTGGTCATTTGGGGAGTTGAACCAACGGAAGATTTCTCTCTTTCTCTCTTTCCCTCTCTCTCTTTGTTCCTCTGCCTTTCAAATAAACAAATACACAGACACACACACACACAATGCTACGGTGATCAAGACAGGGTGATAATTGTACATAAAGAAAGATGGTACATAGAGACCAGTGGAATACAATTTAAAATAGAGAAATAATCCCTGTCACTTAGTTTATTTTTGACAGACATTCTAAGATCAACCAATGGCCAAAGACTCGTCAACAAACAATATTGAGACTAAGGGAGCCACATGAGAAAGAAGTTGGACTACAATCTTCTACCATATACAAACATTAACTGAAAATTGAACATGGGAGGCCATAAAAAATATGAGTCAATCTTAACAGGGAGAGTTGCACAGAAAGTTCATGGAAATATATATTATAAAAAGCTATGTCCAGATTTCAGTATTTTTGCGGTAAAATTAACTCATCTTTAATCCCACCTGTTACTGAACTTTCTGAAGTAACCTTGTGTGTTCATGAATTAGGCAGTGGTTTCAAGGATATTAATAAAATTTCCAAACAACAACAGAAACAAAATATTAAAGTCTAGAACAACAAAATTTTAAACATTTCTTATTCAGTAGATATCACCAACCCACAGAATGGGAGAAAATTTTTGCAAATCATGCAGCAGATTAAGAACTTGGATTTTGTGTGGGCCATCATTGTAGCAAAGCAGGTTAACTATAGCCTGCAATGCTGGCATTCCATACGGGGCACTGTTTCATGTCCCAATTGTTCCACTTCTTATCCCGCTCCCTGTTACTGGCCTTGGGACAGCACAAAACATGGCTCAGATGCTTGGGCCCCTTTCACCTATGTGGATGACCCAAATGAAGGTCCTGGTTCCTGGCTTTGGTCTTGTCCAACACTGACCATTGTAGCTATTTGCAAGGGAACCAGTGAATGAGAAAATCTCTCTCTCTCTTTCTCTCTTTCTTTCTGCCTCCCTCACACCCTTGGTCTCTATTGTTCTGACTTTCAAATCAATAAATATTTTATGGAAAATACTCATAGTTTAACACCAGTGACACAAATATCCCAGTAGAAAAATAGACTAAGGATTTGAATGGACATTTTCCAAAAGAAGGTGTATAATAAGCTCATAAAAAGATGATAAAGATAAAGATAACCTTTAGGGAAATGTAAATCAAACCCACAGTTAGATGCCATTTCACACCCAGTAGGATGACTTTAATCACAAAGACAAAATATTTATTCAAGGACATGCAGAAAAAGGAACCCTTATTTACTGGTGCTAGGAATATGCCATGGATCAGATAGTTTGGAAAACAAACTCTCTGACCACAATTCTGGACAGCTTTTTTTTAAAGATTTTTTTTTTATTATTTTTTATTAGAAAGTCAGATATGCAGAGAGGAGGAGAGACAGAAAGATCTTTCATCCATTGATTCACTCCCCAAGTGCCTCAAAGGCTGGAACTTCACTGATCTGAAGCCAGGAGCGAGGAGCCAGGAGCCTCTTCCGGGTCTCCCATGCAGATGCAGGATCCCAAGGCTTTGGGTTGTCCTCGACTGCTTTCCCCAGGCCACAAGAAGGGAGCTGGATGGGAAGCAGGGCAGCCGGGACACGAACCCGTGCCCATATGGGATCCCGGCATGTGTAAGGCGAAGACTTTAGCCTCTAGGCTACTGTGCCAGGAACCTGGACAGTTTTTCAAAATGTTCGACTTCATGTTCCCAAATGGCTCAGCAATATACTGTTCCTCCCTGGCTACCCAAGAAAACTGACAGCATACATCACACAAAATATTTACATGTCAGTATTCTGAGCAGCAGTATTCACAGGAATGGAAATAACCTAGGTGTCCAAGAACTGATGAAAGTGTGATAGAGCCATACAGTGGAATATTATTCAGCAATAACAGGAAATGAAGGATCGAAGCATGCTTACACTTAGATTAGCCTTAACATCATTTTATGGGAAAGAAGCCAATTTTCATTCGAAAGACTGTCTGTTGTATGATTCCAATCCTATGAAATGTCCAGAATAGGCGAAACCACTGAGACAGAAAATAGACTAGTGATTGTCAGAGCGTGGGGGTCAGGCATGTGGGAACTTAATGCTACTGCCCATGGGGTTTCTTCTTTTGCATGACAAAACACACTATAAAATTAAATAGACTGCACATATTTATGAATATTCTAAGAGCCAGTAAATTGTGTGTTTCAAAACAATACAGTATGTGAATTAGATTTTAACAAAGTTGTTATCAAAAAATTCAAGCACATGTGGGCATTAAAATTCTAATCTCCCTGCCTTGATAAGGTACTACTGAAACAAATAAAAAAAATTGTAGAATAACTTAATTTCTCCAAGGTTTCTTCCCCAACTCCTTTCTTTCCTTTGTATTTGATTAAGAGAGACTAGAAATACTTTTGTGACACTGACATCAACATGTTTATTGCTTCATCATTTCTTTGCAGCCATGGATGAAGGAACAGATGGTAACCTTAAACGAGAAAAGTTCAGTCTGGGGGAGAGATTTTTATCTTTGGCTGTTGCCTTTTGAAAGAAGTCACATGCATGGTCTTCTGGTATACCAACATAGGGAAACTGTGGGTTTCCAATTAGTATTTCAACCCTATCAAGATCTTTATTGGAGGGGGTGGGGAGGAATTGTCTTTCCCATAGGGCAAGGTCTATGGAGAGAGAGAGAGAGAGAGAGAGAGAGAGAGAAAGAAAGAAAGAAAAAAATATTTCCAACCATTCCTTTTCCAACCATTCCTGTTTTCCAAGCCTTAGGAAGCAGTCTGCTGTCAGTGCTGGCTAAATCCGCTGGTTGTGTTTCTGGGCAGCATATGTATTAAGTGTGTTTAATTGCTATTGCAGTCAAGGAAATTGTGGTCATGGTCCAATATGTGGTGGTCTGCCTAGGAAAAATCAAAATCATATGGGTATTTTCCCCTGAGCTGCTGATTTAGAAGGAAAGGTTGGGGTCTGTGTGTAAACGTCCTTAACGTGCTTACCTGGTGGCTTCTGCCTTTGCACGCTGCTCTCTCTCACGCCTGCCACGCCTTCTACAAAGACAGGCGTGCTCCGGAGCATAGCTTTGGATGCCTCTGCCAGAAGCCCGTTGCCAAGGAATGTGTTTATGGTTTGGGATCCAAGGACTGGTGACTAGCAGGCTTATGGAAAAAAAAAAATAGAAAATGGTTTCTTCTTTTGCTTGCTCCTCACCTGCCACCTTTTCTGCCTACAGGAAGATCTGTCTGCACTGCAAGTGTCCCCAGGAGGAGCACATGGTGACAGTGATGCCGCTGGAGATGGAGAAGACCATTAGCAAACTCATGTTTGACTTCCAGAGGAACTCGACCTCAGATGACGACTCAGGCTGCGCCTTGGAGGAGTATGCCTGGGTCCCGCCGGGACTGAAGCCTGAACAGGTACCATCCTTGGCGAGAGCTCCTTGATGCTTTTGGCTTTTGGCTTTGTTTTTTGCTGGTCCTTCCTCGTTCTGGCTCAGAAGTAAAGACTTGTCTTTGCTGATTCAGAGAAATGGTTGCGGCCAAATGGCTTAAAGATGTCACCAGCCTACTGGGCAATGAGGAAGGGAAATGAAATTGAGTCGGGAGTGATCCATTGCTAATTCATTCTGTATTGTCATGATTAGCTGCTAACAGGATGGTTCTAGAAACGACTCAGCCGTGTTGGCTTTGAAATAGGAGATCGAAAAGCTTCATTCTTTTAGGGGGAAAAAAGACAAGTTCTACACTGACCATGAATCTTCACCTTCAGAGTCTTTATAAAGCAGCGTGAGGAAGTGTGAATGTGCCTTAGTCTCCCCAGTGCTATATGCTATGTTTAAATACTAAGATTGGCCTTACTTTACAAAGGAAGACTTGACATTTCCTGAAATATTTTGGCACTACCTACCAGCTGTAAATATTATTGACTTAGAAAATTTGGGTTTCCTTCTGTTCCATTGCATATTTCTTACTGATACACACACTGCTTTACATTTCTTGGTACCTGGAATTTTCTCTTCCAGCCGCCCCACGTAGGCTTAGCAGCACTTGGGTAGGCGAGGTATTTTTATGATTGCCTTGTGAACTTTCAGAGATGGCATTGCTTGAACCTTAGGACTTTGTCCACTGTCAGATACTCCTGACATTTGAGATGTCTTTCTGTATGACTGACAGATCATTGTAGGGTTTCAACAGCCTTGAAATTTTAAAGTGGGAACTTTAGAAGTGATAATGCTTTTAGAGAAATTTTCATAAAATAACTAAGGCCCAAGAATTCCCCAGTAACTTAAAGACAGTTACTATCCTCTCATCTCTATGGTTAGCCATTTCTCATTTTCTTCTTCCAGTATTGAGCCTGCAAATGGGCAGATGAAATAGGACACACAGGTAGGATTTATTTAGTCGGTAAGATCTTGTTTTAAAAATTTAATTAGTTACTGCTGCTGTTTTAATATGATTTGGGCTTAAGCCCAAATCATAAATTAATGGTAGGAGAGGGTGGCAAGTCCTCCAATTATGCTGTTTAGGAGGTAGGCCTGGTGGGAGGTCCTTGTATTATAGAGACAAGCCACAAGGAGAAAATTCTCTCAGGAGCGTTGCTACAAGAACCTTAGGTGGGGGCAGGGAGGGGGCACATTTGTGGCACATCAGGTTCAGCCACTGCCTGAGATGCCAGCATTCTATATGAGTCAAGTCCCGGCTATTCCACTTCTGATCTAGCTCCTGGCTAATGCATCTGGGAAAACAGTAGAGTACTGAAATACATGGGTCCATGCCACCTACCTGAGAGACCCAGATGTCATTATAGGCTCCTGGCTTCTGCGTAGCCCACCCGTAACAGTTGTAGCCATTTGTGGAATGAACCAGCAAATGAAAAATCTGTATGTCTGACTGTCTCAATCTGTGCCTTGCAAATAACAAATAGTCAGTGTAAAAATCCCTGTGTTTTGTGGCTCATCACCATGTGATCTTTTTCCCGCGCATGCCCCATCATTGTTGTCTACCAGCTTGCACAAAGCTGCCTAGTCTTGGACCTGAACCATTGAAACTATTGGCTAAATCAACCTTTGTTCTTAATACATGCCTTGCCTATCTCACTATAGTAACACAAAGATGACTCTAACGACTACTAATCCGTAAAAATTGGGAATGTTTCATGTGAAAGCTACTATTTACATCTTCAACGTTTGCAGATTGGGACTTTCTTTTCTGCAAAGATACAGTCGGCTGGATGTGTTAGCCACTCCTTTTAGACAAAACTGGATTTCTTTCTGCTCTGTATCAAATCCTTTTTATCCTTCTATGTTACCTCCCTGAACCTTACAGTCTGTTCAGGTTGACTCTTCTGAGTCAATAGTGAAGAGGGAGCCCTTAACCCAGACAAATTCCCAGAAAATAATTGAGAGCAAAACTGAGTGTAGATCTCTGTTGGGATATTGGCAGGGAAAAAATTTGGGTTCTTTTTTCTCAGCTATTTCTTTGGTTGTGTTTCATTTAAAAATTGTATTATTGAAGCGCTGTTTCAAGAAGAGTCTTTGATGGAGTTTGTGGAAACGCAGATGAGGAGGTTGACTGAATGTCTTATTTGACATGGCCATTGTGACTGCCAGAACTTGAGCAGTGAGTTCTCACACCTAGATACATCTGTGCGCTTGGCTCATTTTCCTGCTAATCTCCTTCCCTTCAGCTTCTAAACCAATGTGTCTTCCTTTGGCTCACCTGAAGGATGTTGCTTCCTGCTGCGTTGGGCCCGGAATTACCCAAGGTTACGCTGTTGTCAGTTTCCCTCTGAAGTAGATTCTTCCTTGAGACCGTGGAACATTACTCAGTGATCTTCAGATTCAGAGAAACAACCTGTTGATGCTGACGCAAGAGAACAGATAATGTAGAAACTGAGGTCTTGCTTCAGTTCAGCAATTCCCAAAATTGAGGGCTTGAGGTATTTGGAGAGGCCAAATGATTCATCTAAAATGAATGTCTTTGGGAACCATGAAACTGAAATTTCGTTGATTTGTTTGGAAAGAAAATGATTAATTCTGTTAAAATGACTTGAATTATGCCAAATGAAAGCGTACTCTCATCTCTTGTAATTCTTTCGTTGCTTGGAGGTTTTCTGTATCCCTTGTGCTTACTCAAACCTGTATGACACACACAATTAGAAGGGGAAATTGCTCTCCAAGGGAGACTATCTTTTTCACACTGCTTGAAGGATTCTCTATTTGCCTAATAAAATACAAGTGTATATTAAAGGGGCAGACGAGATCATGCTGGGTAAAAGAAATGGTCTTCAGATTTTTAAATATGAGCTCTCTGAAAGTCTATTACTTATAAAGCTATCTGTGTGTTTAAAGATTTTTCAAAAGCTGACTAATACACTCTATGATTAGAAAAAAATGAGTCCTAATTTTTCACTAATAAAAATTCTGATGTTTAATATCATGTTAGTTGTCTAAGATTGAGAAGCACCATTTTTCTATTTGCAGAAATTGGAGTGGAGGTTAAGCTGCTTTGTGCTAGAGGCACAATACGAAAGACCAGTTAAAGTCAAGAGCAGTGAACTCTCGTTGTTGGAAACCTTTCATTTCTCTCCTGATCCTGGAGTTAGTAATAGATCCGTAATTCTATTTCTTCCAAGAAAGGCTTTCAATTAAATATGCAAATGAATGTCTCCTATTTATGGAAGTATTCTTGAATAGGGACATTTAATTTCATAGAAATGCACTAGCTGCAAACCCAGATTTGATAGTGAACATGGTAAGTGCAGAAAGTCTTCTCTATCCGCAGCTTTCTGACTTATGCATTCAATCAACACACATTGAAAATACTGGGAGTGAAAAAAGGCAAAAACCTGTACCCACTGATTCTTTTTCTTGTCATTTTTCCCTATACAGTGCAGCATAGAAATATTTATATAACACTCTATATTAGATATTTTAATTTTGTAATTTTTTTTAAAATTTAAGGAACAGACAGAAACAGAGAGGGGGCGACTGACTATTCAGGGAGTGATTCACTCCTCTAATGCCTCCAGCAGCCAGAACTGGGCCAGACCAAAGCCCAGTGCCAGGAACTCAGTCCAGGTTTTCCATGTGGGAAGCAGGAACCGAACCACTTAAGCTTTCATTTTCCTGGGATCTCACAGGGTCTGGAGTACAAGCAGGGAGCTGGAGTCCAGAGCTAGAGCCAGGTCTGAAACTCATGTACTCTAATGTAGGACACAGGGCTTTTAAAGGGCATTTTTAATTGTTAGGCTAATCCTTCCCTAGTGTCCTCATGCTCTTATTAAATATTATAAATACTCTATAGAATGGTTTTATCATGTATGGCAGACTGTGTGGGGTCATAGGTGACCTGTAAGTGACTAGAACATCCATGGATGTTGGTGTCTGCACAAGATCCTGGAGTCAGTCCTCGGTGAACACCGAGAGCTGAGTGTGTAACAGATGATACCACAAAGGAAATGCCTTTGATTTCTAATGACTGAACTGAAAACAAATCAGACATTCTTTAGTTCCTTTGCCTCTGCTTCTTCCAAATAAAGGATTTAATGTCCTCCAGAGAGCCCTATGGCATCAGAACAAAGAACTGGAATCTGTCTCTGACCATTTGAATTCATTGTTAAAGCTCGAGTTTGACTTCACATTCAGTTCATAGTGTTATTCATGGTCTCCTAACGATACCATGATGGCAGGTTGGCAGTCAATAGTACTCTAGGAAAATCTTGGTAAGTACCAAGCTCTAGCAAAGGTAAAAGGTAAGCAGGATCTCTCCACCTCAGCTCTGCTGGTATTTGCTTCCGGGTGACTACTGTGAGAGCTGCCCTGTGCTCTGTGGTCTAGATAGCAACTTCCTTGGACCTCTACACATTAGGTAGGTACCAGCAGCAACTCCCAAGGGTGCCAGCCAAATGCATCTCCAGAGAGTCCCCACCGTTCCTGCTAAATTTGAAAGTGATGCTAAAACCTGAAGGAGAGCAGGTGTTTCGCATACCAGTTAAGAAGTCTATGTTCCATGACCCATGTCACAGCATCTGAGTTTGATTCCTGGCTTCAATCTGTGACTCCAGCTTCCTGCCAGTGTAGACTCTGGGAGGTAATATTGGTGGCTCAATGAGTTGACTATTTCTGCCACCCACGTGGAAGGTGCCTTCGTTGAGCTGTCCCAGTTTTGGCTCAGCCAGTCCTCACCACGGCAAGCATTATGGGAGTGAACCAAATACATGTGGGAAATATTCCCTCTTGAAATTGTTTTTTGAAGCTAGAAAATATCTCAGTAAAATTCTGGCTCCTTCAAGTCAGAAAAGGATGACTCAAATTAGCAAATCCTTGTGGAGCACCTCCCCTGTTCTGACTCTCGCGGAGCAGCTGCTGCCTTGTAATCTGCTTGCACATTAGGTCAGGTGAAAAGCTAGTGTGCCC